GAAAGCTTCGGTATCAACACCATCCTGAGAAGTGGGCACTCGACTATGGGGGTCACACCAGATGACATTTTACGCGCTCGCGAACTATGTGCTGGCCGGAAACACAACCAAGGGACCATCGCTCGGACCTACTTAAAATTCTCCTACACTTGGTTGCCTAGACTGCATACCTGCGTAGTATTGCTGGGCAAACTTTCCGCCATCGCATGGGTCAGGTTGCCATATAACGTATTGATTTTCACAGTGATTCGTGATAGAATCGGTAACCAATGCTAGAATGTGCATGCGTATAGAAACAAATCAATTTAGGGTGTAGAATTTTAAGTAGTAATAAAATGCAACCACTGTAGGCTGAAATTAAATTCATAATTCCGAAAAATTGGGCTCATAGGTCAGTAGGAGACACACTTTACGAGAGAGTTTGCTGCGCTGCTGTTGATCGTGGAATCTGTGAAGTTTGTGTGTTTGTTTGTATGTGTATGTGTGTGGTAGTATGTGTGCAAAGACATTGTGTGTGTCGGAAAATCTGTTTTTTTGCAGATTTTGTGATCGTTTTATTCGGATTACATAAATCTGGCAAAACCAGTCACCGAAAGAGAATTGCCCCAACAATCTGGCAGTCTTAAATGCCATAGGTCTGATTTCATAGGAGGGTGAGAGGATAAAATTGGCAATACGTAGGTATTTAAGACGTAGAAAATGTTGTATGAGCACATTAGCCCATAGAAATAAAATTCGTTTTTTGAGGAATCACTCGGCCAACACTGGATCAGCTTGCCTCCATTTCGACTAAAGTCGTGTGACGAAGAGAAAAAGAGGCAGATCCGACCAGAATTCACTCGTTCAACTTTAGTGGAATGCTCTACGTGACAAAGGCTTCGGTTGTATTAATAATTTTCTTCACCTTTTTTGTGTATACATGTTCATATATATATATATATATAGGTATATATATATGAATTTTCGTAAGGGGGAAATTCATTTGGCTGGCTGAAAAATTGGATCTAGAAGTAGTTTCATCAAAAACTTTTTTATTTGAGATTTTAAGCCTATTATATCTTATATGTATTGTATAGATCTATGTGATGTTTTAAGGTGATAAAGGACTGGTAGATGAATTTTTCCAACATGATATGAGTTGACCTCAAGTTCCTATTGAAATTCGCATAGCCTTCCTTCCCCAAAGGTATCCTTATCCAGAGTGGACAGGAGTTTCGACCTCGCCTAGGCCTCATCAGCACCCACAGCGGGAGTGAAATTGTGAAATTAAATGAAAAGATAAGGTCTACATTTAGCATTGTGGGAAAATTGAACTGCCAGACTTTCGTCATCTTAAACTAAATAGGGTGAACACATCTCATATATCTGATCTGCTGGTAGTGGCAAAAGTGAAAAATTAAGAACTTAGACAACCATTTTCGCTGAAATAAGATTTAAAACCAAGCCTTAATTCTTGAATAAGATCTTATTCAGACATTTTAACTGGAAGTAGTTTTCGAGGCTTCCTTTAATCCTTGAGTAAAAATTTAATCAAATATTTTTGATGCAATAAGTTTTCGAGATCATATGTAAGCCCTGGATACTAGCTTATTTACCATAGTTCGACTAAGTCTATTTAGGAATTGAGATTTGAGATTTTTCAGAAGAGCTACGTATATGAAGACTATTCAAAAGGCGTCTGTTGCAATGGCAAGCACCCGTTTGTTGAATCGATAATCCCACTAAAACATGTGATTTTGGCGAGGTCCAGCTTGCCTTGAATGGTGTATCTGCCCTGTGACCCTTTGGTATCCCTGTAGTGGCAACATCACAACAATACCCAAGAACCGGACTCGAATCCCACCGGGGTCGTGATGAGGACTTAGTAACGTCGAAACTGCAGTCAACCCCAAATGAGATGGCCTTTTGACAGGCAAGACTATGCGAAATTTAATGACATTGTCAGGGGGGAAAAATTCAATTATCCACTCTTCAATATCGAATGCGACCTAGGATGACTGTACATTTATTTTCTTTATCTTCTCTGTACCACTGGTTCACAGGGTGCCCCTCACTTTATCTGCCCGACCAATTGGAACTTGGGTTTTTCGAGCAATGCTTAGAGAAATATGTGTTATCAAGGTTCGATATACACTTTTATCATGCGTTTTCTGGGTTTTCTTTGAAATACTCTATCCTCGCATAACTGGCCTGCCTGGGCACTTTTCGTCTTCATACAGCGCTTAGTCTTAAGGCTAAAGTCCTTTTGGGTCAGGCCATTCGAGTTGGCCTTTCACCATTTCAATCAACTGATCGAAAGATCCAACTAGACCCCTGCCTACATACTCAATTAGACGCACACACACACACACATACACACACACAGGCATGCACACCTGCTCACCTACAGATGTGTGTAAGCTAGCAAGCACACAACATTCGCATAGCTCAACACCCCCAGACGGACACACGCTGGTTTATTATGTTGTAGTAAGTTGCTGATGTTATGCTGAGAATGAAACGATAATCGGCTGGCATCTGACCCTATAGGACAAAAGCGTGGGTAATAAAGCTAATAGAAAAGGTGTGATTTGTACCAACCCCAAAAAGTGTGAACCTTTGGTTTTAAAGGAAATGCGCAGAAAGGACGAATGCAAGTGGAGCAGGAAGGGGTAGAGCCGAATTGACGGGAAAAAACAAAAGACTTGACCACTGCCTCTGTGACCTTTGAACTTGGAGCATGTCAGTGACCTTTTCAAGCCCCCAAACTGGGGAGGCAGAAAGTCAAATACCCATCACCTTCACTCAAGAAGTAATAATAAAATCTTACACCATTCACTCACTCACTCACTCACTTCAACCCTTCACTCACGGCAACGAGAGACCGGCCAAATGGCACTTTTATGCCTCCCTTTGCATGTGTGAATCCCTCTTAAAAGGTGTCGGTTCAGAGACGAGCTGCGTAGTAGGTCGAGACGACCAGTTCTGCCGGTACAACCAGCAGCTTCCACCCAAAAATAGGGCCTGTTCGCAAGGAGGATGGTTGCACGGATTGACCCCAAGGCATGGGAACCGAAATGGACCGATCGACTGGCCTACAAGCGTCCGTGGAGCAGCCGAATTTCCGGGACTCGTCTCAGTTCAGAGACAGACGAAGACGCCGAAAATGAGTGAGCGGGCCTCGAGATGACGCCAAAAGATACCGATGCCACAACTAGCGAGCATCCACGAGCTGTGTGGATACCAAATACATCAAATAGGTGTGTTGAATGATGATTTTCTGTAGTGAATGTGAGACAGGATGAAGGGATGGCGATTTCCTGAAAACATGCGCTGTCAAATTGGAAAGTGAGGACGATGATAGAGCAATAAAGCGACCGTGAGAGCCAAGATGGTACAGCCTTGGGCTTGGTCTCAGTCTCCTTTTGCTGTTTTTCGTATTTAAGTAGAGTTTCAAGGCTATCAGTAGATCAGTAATATGAGATGTATTTACTCTATTTCATTTAAGGTGATTGATATGATATGGCAAAAGGCCTGGACTTCTTTGAAATTCACATATGCTCTGTGACCTAAAGGCATTGGTGGCAATGTGGCCGAGGGGTTAACGTGTCAAGCTCGCATTCTGCACTGTCCCGGTTCGACTCCCGCTGGGGGTGTTGATAGGACCGATACGAGGTCGAAACTGCAATCCACTCAAGCCGGAGAAGTGAAATTGAATTGAAACGTCATCTCTACTCATATCATTGTGGGAAAATTCGAATACCACCTTAAATGAAATTGAGTGAATACATCTCATA